CTCTTCCAGTAATCGCCTGGTCCTTGTACTTCAGATATCATCTGCTCCTTTTGTCAAAGTGCACTGAGGCTGGTTCAATTACTTTAGAACTCATTTTGACAGAAAAAAACTAATAGTTTTAAAAGAGATAAGAAGTATAGTTTACCTCTAACATATTAATCTTTAGGCCTAAATTAACCTTTAGGCAGTTCACTCCTATGGCAGTTAACTATACATTTAACTTTTCTTTGGCTGAACTTCTACTTCCCATGACTTTACTTTTTTATCTGCTCTGTCTGTCTACTGTTTCTGCTCGTCTCACATTATTTATATATTTATCACATAATCATCTGCTTGCCTTATAGAAATCTCTAAGCCCTCAACATCAATAAATTTCACATGACGTTTGATAGCCTCAACATCAATGAATTATAAACACAATGTATGATTCTTACCAAGTTAGGTAACTAAACATGTCATAAATTTAAAATAATTGCTTTTAATTATCTTGTAATGAAAAAAACTAAAGCTACAAGCAAAGATAGCACCTGCCTGCACACAAGAGTTCAACAGTGTAATGATGTTCAAAGAACCAAAAGCAATATTACATAAACCTATTCAAGAAAACATCCCTTAGATTTGCTCAAAAAATGTAAAAGAAAGCAGATTACAATTTCTATAATATGTCTTCTTTAAGGATTCAGAAATAAAAAGTTACACTAAAGTAAAATGGACTATGCCTACTTGTTAGAGACTAATGAATGACATTGTGTAGCAGAGAGTGACATGGTTAAAGAAAGAGCTCCCAAGCTTACCTCTCCTGTTGCCAGGTACCTTCCATCCCAAGAAAAAGCCAGCGAGGTAATGGTTTTTTTGGAAGAACTGAGAATGTGATTTTGTCTGTTCTTGCGAACATTATAGAGAACCACCACACAACTGGAATATAAGGCAAATAATTAATCACAAGCAGTTTTCTACTATACAGTTAAGATGAATTAATATTATGCTAAAAATAATCTTCTTTATATCCTTACTATGTTTTTATTCATTAATCATAATTTTAGTCCTATTTTTAACTATTTATTTTTCAAACCTAATAACACTCCTTTTATTTTAACATTTATTTTTCTCGTGTCTTGTGTTATCTTTTTTTTTTTCAAAATAGTTACTATTTTGACCATTAGTCATTAATCATGTGTTTGTGTTTTTCTTATAGCAAAGCCACATCAGTCTATCTGCTGTGTCCACCGAGGGGATTCGATTCCCTGATTCTAGCATTGTAAATCCATAGACTTACCACTATCCAAGCGGGGGACAGTCATTAACCGACTTATATTTTTATGTAGTTTACACATTTTCATTCTTATCCTTACATCTTGATTCTGATTTTGCTTTTATCAAAATAGTTATCCATGTTTTATTATATTATCTGTCTTACTTTTACCCCAAAGGTATCTTTCTAATAAAAGTTTTTTTTAAATATTTTATGTAGTTATTTGTACCTTCATGATTGTTCTTACCATATCTTGGCATTTACTTTCATTTCATTTCGGTGTTATATTTTTTAAGTTGGTCAAATTGGATTAACAGTTGTAAGTAATATAGATATTACCTCTACAAAAAATACTGAAGAACACACAAATTACTTGCACTTGAGTGAAGATTATCTGCATTTTATATTTTTTAAATATTTCGTCAAAAGTTAAAGTGATTTGGTTTTCAATATTATATAAATGTATAGTACTAAATGCTAAAACATACATACAGATGAGTCTGTGAATATAAAAAAGGCCAGCACAGCACACTCACAGAGACCTATTGTCACTTGCTGTTTAACAACAGCAACATGATGTCAGAATATACATATCTACATTAAAAGTTTACAACAGGTTTAAAAGAATGGCACAGTTTGCGGAAGCCATCAAATAGATGTCCCTTTATTAAAATGTAAAACAACAAAAGCTCATTAGTTCTGGCAACTTATATACATAGAAAGACTGAAATAAACTAGTTAAAGGTAGTTTTATTATTCTAAATTACTAGTCCACAAATCCTGCTAAGCATCACTGTTGGAAATATTGAATGTATTTGTGTCCTTGAAAAAATAATACAGCACAAAAGATTTGATTTGGGCCACTTCCAGGAAAAAGTAACTTCAATATCCTTTTTTCAAAATAGTTACATTTTCCCTAAGACTATGGTATAAAGTGTATAATCAGTAAAATGACAGTTTATCACAACAAGCTATTATATGAACTTATTTCCTACTGTACATTATATTTTATTCATCATAATAACTTAGGCAACTCACTAGTAGGTTATTAAATTAGCAATTAAGAATATCTCCAAATAACCACAGTCAGCAACCTTCAGAATGACTAGGCTTATATTTTCACAGCTTCATTCACCACAAACTAAAGTTATAAGTCTACATAAATAAATATATCACATGCTGAAAACACCAAACTGTAAAGATAAATTTGTATATTTCAACAGCAAACACCTCTAGGATTCTGAAAGCATATTTGTCTTATCATTTCATTTTTTTTTTTCAATAGTTAGGGGATCCAAATATATTAAGATTGAAGTGTTTCTTCAATGACAAAAGTTGATGTGTATCACAAATACTACAATGACTATGGAAAGCATGCTAATGGATCATGACTTGTTTCCATATACTCACAATCAGGTTAATTTTAGTTTTAACCTAAGTAGGTAAGTAGGTAGTATTGTTTGTTTGCTGAATTTCACAGAAGGCTACTCAAAGGTTATCTCAGCCTGCTGTTCATAATTTTGAAGTGAGAGAGTTGAGGGAAGTCGCTAGTCAACAACACCCACTACCAACTCTTGGGCTACTCTTTTGCCAAAATATAGTGGGGTTAACTGTCACATCATATTGCCCCCACAGCTGAAAGGGTAAACATGTTCGATGACAGGAATCAAACCTATGACCCAGAGATTGTGAGTTGAGTGCCCTAACCACCAGGCCATGCCAAGCCTAAGTAGGTAGCTTGCCTGATCAGAAGTTACTATTAATAACAAATAATACAGGTAAAATATTTAATTCATACTGTTATAGGTAATTAGATATACACCACAGAAGCTTATATTATCAATTAAAATAAAAGCCATTGGCTTGCAAACAAAAAACACGGGTTACTGTTTTTTATTTATGTTTGTTTTAGAGCAAAACCACATTGGGTTATCCACTGTTTCCACTTTGGGGAATTGAACCCTGGATTTTACCGTTGTAAGTGCAAAAACTCACTACTATCACAATGGGAGGGGGGGGGCAATTATTTATGAAATAACTTTTTTGTTATTCATACTTATATTTACTTATATTACATGTTAATGAGTTTGAGTTTTTAATGAGTAAAGCTGCACAATGGGCGAGCTGCTTTATGCCCATGACATTTTAGCATTATAATAAATATAATTATAAGTGTTATTAAATTAGTTTAATAATGAACGTTCTCCTCACAATTCAACAATATCTACTTGGGCAACAAGTGAAGGGCCGTAAGTCCAAACTGTCACTATCTACACGTTTCAAAGCAAGCAAAACTGTATTACGAGAAATCTGCGCTTTGTCTACCGCGGGGAATCGAACACCGAATTTTAGCATTAGTCCAAAACTTACTGCTGACTCACCAGTGGCCACACCTATCAACATACATGTATCATTTTATCATTTAAGATGAAACATCATGATATTCTTTTTCAGTTCGAAAAATAACGAAACCCGATACAATATTTTTAAAAAACAACATGCAGATTACTAATGTCGAATCTAACAAAACCTATCCCACTTAAGTTAGCGACACAGACTTCAACGCCATCTTAAGGTCTTTCTCACGAACCTTTGGCTAGCAATAACTGTCTGTATTTAACGCATGACAGTCTGCCTAAAATGGTGCGTCGTAACGGTCAAATTCTTCTGTTTGCATGAATAAATAATGTGTTTTAGTAACAGGTTGTTAAGATTATTCTAAGACATCTAAAAACAAGTGCGATTAACATATATCTTTACGTTATTAACGAAAGGAGTCGTCCATGGAATGTAATTCCAGAACTGTCACGTGGTTTAATAAACATAATCTCCAGCTGCAAACCACGTCACCGCTTGCTGTAAAAACTACGACTGATTATAATTGCATGCTATAATACAATATATAAGTGAACGGTAATACTATAGCTGTGATTCTAACCTTTAAAAAAAACAACCATAATTGACATCTCGGTTTTGGTTTTGTTATCCAGATCTGTTTTGAGCGCTTATATATATATATATATATATATATTTGATGTAATTCAAATATTACCACCAGTACTACTATCTGTTACTACAGTTACCTATGTAAGTTTTACTAAACTTAGCGAACTTGAGTTCGCTGAGTTTAAATAATAAACCAAAAATTTGCGATATTTACGACAGATCTGACATTTCGCATTTGTACATTTATAGACTTTACACACACACACATACGGTGCTGATCATCTAATAACATCTGTTCTGCCGCAGATAATGTAATTTAAAAATAATTCCATACAAATAAACTGTTTCCAGTACTCAAGAGTACTAACGCCCCGAATGGGGCTGAGTATAAATTGAAATTATTTCAATAGGATTAATTCTAAATTTTTCAGTATTCAGGTGAAGGGGGGAATTTAAAAGTAATTTAAATGTTAATATACTGTGACGATCTTAGCAGTAACCGTGGGAAATTTAATACAACTGTCGAATAATTTTTAAAATGTTAGTACTGACCAAGGAAGCTGGAAATAAAAACCTGAGTAACTGAAAAAGTAGGCACTAACAATGCGGCGATAAAGAACCACGTGGTAAACAAATTCAATGCACGGAGGGTTCTGTAATATGTTGTTTTTCCTCTTACTGTAACGATATAATTTACCATGCGTGTGACGAAATATTTCGCGTCTTTTTATTTTCGAATAACGACGGAAAATAAACAGGATAAACGCTCCAGTTCAAAACAGCTCCCAGCTCCTGATTTCAGGTAAGGTTACCAGAACGCGCGGAGTTAACAGAAGAAGGCGGAAGTCTGTTGTTTTTTTTTGTTTTTTTCTGGTTAGTGACGAAAAACATGATTTTCCCATAAAAGCCACGTCTAGTAAAACAATTTTTAATGTCTACCTGGAATATGATCAGTTTAAAAACAAATTGATCAGGCCTTAAGAAACTAAATTATTAAGTTTTCTATGTGCAGTCCTCTAGCTAAGTGTTTTTTTTTCTCTTTTACACATACTCGATGCTCATAGTGCTAAACAGCTGACCTTTGCCTGGCAATCTGGAGGTAACCCCAATGACCCTTCATCACGTCAAGTAGCGTTTAATTACAAATACTGCTGTTAAGAAGTCACATACTAATTTAGCTAATCATTCTCATCGTGAATAGGATCTGACCTTCAATATTGAGAACAAATGACCCCAGAATCTTAATAAACGCTCTACTGCACGTAGGCCTAGTTAATTGGAAACTTCATTGTGAGAAATATTGGGAACTTCACCTAAGAACTCTCTTCGCACAACGGATACGTTATATTGTTCAAAGCAACTGGCCATGACACCAGACTCTTATCTGGAGTGGCTTTTAATTAACACCTCATGAAACATTGAGCTCATTAATTAGAACAACCATTGCTGGGAATAACCTGCTAAGAGCATTAAAACACTTCGACCCTCTTTAACATAAAGCCACTGTGAGCTCAAACCGTCGGAGAGACCTGCAAATGAAAACCTTCATTTGCGACCTTGCGATTTTTTAGACATACAGACGTGATCTAACACTATATCCAAATCGCACAAATTTTCGACTTCATCGAACGAAAACTGTGTACAGTAAACACGTAACAAACACATATTGCATGCCGTGCCGATGTTGATTCACTTTTAATTTTAAAAACACTTTCGA